CCCCCCATCCGATTCCCCAGCCCCCCTGGGAGTGCCTAGCAGAACAGCAGGCAATACCTGGAGCCCTGCCAGGATCTCCGATTACACTCAGCCCCTGCTCGCTTCCTTCTGCTGATGCAAAGTGCTTTCACGAAATGCCATCCATTTCCCCCCGAGCCTTTAAAACAAAACAAAACAAAAAAAAGCCTCTTCTTCACTTTCCACGAACCTCACAAGGGGGGGGCAGTCACCTCCCTGAAATGATCGGAACTAGAAACAACGCTAGACACTGGGAGACACAGACGTGCTGCTGCCCCCAACCCTGACAAGAATACAGCATTGCAAAGAAGACGAAATGCCATCCATTTCCCCCCGAGCCTTTAAAACAAAACAAAACAAAAAAAAGCCTCTTCTTCACTTTCCACGAACCTCACAAGGGGGGGGCAGTCACCTCCCTGAAATGATCGGAACTAGAAACAACGCTAGACACTGGGAGACACAGACGTGCTGCTGCCCCCAACCCTGACAAGAATACAGCATTGCAAAGAAGAAGCCATTACGAAGCACTACCCCACCCCCTCTCATAAAACAATATGGAGTACAACCTGGAGCTGCATGCTGAAATGCCAGACAGCCTCCCTGTTTTTCTCTGGGCACTGGGCAGCAAAGGCATTACACGCTTGGTGCGTTAGCAGATTTTGAAATAAAAAGCAGCTGGGAGTTAGTGGCATGGGCTCAGTAGCTGCATCAAAGCACAGAACTGCTGTGAACATCAACTGCGTCACGTCTTCCCGACTGTAACAATCCTGGCTGCAAAAGTGTCCCTCCTTTGGAGGCAGCCTCCCTCATTTTGGATCTATTTTCAGACCGTTTCTAAACTAGCTGCCTCTCGTGGGGAAGAATTTTGCAGCGCAATTTAATGAAACCTTTACAGTTTCGTTTGCCACTGTTCTGAAAACAGTCCCTTTTTGTTTTTCGCCAGCCAGATTCTTCAGTAATTAGATGGATAAACACGTAAGGGCGTTCCCTTTCGTCTGTTCGTCTTTTAAAATCCTCCTTAGTAATCTTTTACTGTTTGGAGGTAGATTTTGCGAGTGTGGGTTGAAGGAAGAGGAACAATTTAACAGCCATGTAATGCCAGCATGGATTCGCAGTCTCCCTCCACAAAAAGCAGCCTTTCTTTAACAAGCGCTTTGTGGAGAGAAAAAGAAATCACCCTCTGAAAAGATATATTAATATAGCCTGTATTATGTATCTATGACACAAGAACAAGTTAGCTACCGTTTTACAAAAGATAATGAGGCTCTCTGTCCAGAACAATAACATTTGTCGAACAGGCCTGGGCTATCTCTTTCTCTGCAAGGGCAAAAGGGTTTACTTACCCGCACACCACTGATGAATGCAGTTCTGAAGGTGAAGTTGTGTTGTTTAGCTTTTAAAAAACATTTATAAATATATAGCTATATAATCTGTATCCCCACTTCTCTGGTAAATTTGCAAATCAAACGTATCTTGTTAAGACATTTAGAGATATTTATATGGCAATTGTGTAGCATCAAAAAAAGCTATAGAAAAATGTTGTCTAGCTACGTGGTCCAGTTAGGACTTTTACTCGAGACTTAAATCTATTTTCCTGTGACAGATTTACTCTGTATATTAAAAGGACAGCCAAGGGCTTTCCACAGACGACACAAACTCAAAAAGGTTTTCCCCAAATATTTTTAGTCTGTACATGTTAGTGTGAAAACACCTAGTTAACATTTACTGTATGTAAACATTTTAAAAACATCTCTCGCTATTTTGCTTTATAAGTAAAATATTTTAAAAGCATAAGTTGTTTTAGCTAAACAGACAAAAAACATAAGACATGCAAATGAAGGCTCAGAAATAAGGACAACTCCAGTAACATTAACATGAAAACTACACTTAGTAAGGACAGAATGGATTGGGTACTTACAATGTAAAAGAAACAAAAAGTTTATCATAGTAAATTTTATGCCAGAATTCACTATTCCTAAGTCTATATTTAAAACGTTACCTTATAAGCACCAAAGGAGTTAATAAAAAAAATGGCCAGGAATTAAGTGTTTAATACAGGAACTATTTTTTAAATTTATTGTTCAGTCATAATAGAGTTATAAAGCTTAAAAACCCCAGACAAAAATATGTATTTACTTATTTTTGAATTCAAAATTGTTACTGCTGACATAAGGGTGTGCCATGACCTAGTTATACAAGACAAAGATGGATTCCAAATCATAATGAAAAATCCAAATCTTTTTTATCTTCCTTCTTCATTGAGTCCTTTAAAATGTTGTCAGACATTAATACAACACTGAGAAGTCCTGAAATGGATGGTGTGGATTCAAATAAAGTATCCCCTTTTGGAACAAAGGAAAACCCAGTTGGCCATTTAATTCCATTGCAGAAAAATGGCTGCCTGATCTGTTGGCCTCTCCTTAGCTGTCTGGTGAAGGATGTTTTTAGATCAGCGTCTAATAACTCAAGCCAAATGGAAGCTGCGCGCTGATTGGCTGCGGGCTCCTGGTGCCTTTAACCAGCCAATTACCTAACCACGGCCAAATTACAACCCAAAAGCACAAGATGAGCTAAAACAACATGAAGCCCAAATCCAGGCGAGACGCTCCTCGCCCAGGAAAAGAGGCGAGAAGAGCGATCCCCAGCTGCCTTTCACCGCTCAAACAAAATGGAAGCTCCAA